CCTTTCTTCCCCATACTGATGCTCGGTTTGAACTGCAGGAGATTGTCTTGACCATGTCTACATGCCTAAATGCACTGAGTTGCCGCCATGTGATTGTCTGATTAGAAATTAAGTGTTAACGAGCAGTTGGACAGGTGTACCTAATAAAGTGGCCGGTGAGTGTATATAGCCTCTGATTAGTCATCCGATTGGTCACAGGTGTGACTCTGTTGGTATTACAGCTCCAACAGTGCATGCGCGAAGGGAACATTCAGTGCTTTTAGCACCACCCTCTGGCAGTCAGTAGGGATGAAATAGAACCCCACCTCCTGCTGTTGGCTGCTGAGAAAACAACACCTTGCAACTTTGAATGGGTCAAAGCTGGGTTCAAAATCAAACAATTGAATTTAGCCCAGAAAAATAAAAAAATAGCTGTTAATAACATGAATTAGTCTATAAATGTATAGAAATAATGACAAAGCAACTTTTGTTATAATCTGGAATTTGAAGATTTTCTTTTGATTTGATGAAAGATTTAAATAAATTGCATCTTTCTTATATTTTTGGATCTGGCTGTGTACTTGTGTTTAATACGTTTGGTGGGTTTGGTGAACTGTGTAGTTTTGTGTACCTGTAAACGTTGTTCAAGATCAGGGAAGGTGTGTGAAAGGTCCTCCACATCTTTTACATCTAAAGAAACACATTGCTTAGTTACACCAGGTTCATTTAGAAAGACAGTATTCGTGAATTTGTTGCAAATACAATTCATATTTTAAAAATGATTCTTGCAAATGAGTTTAGTACAAAAAGTGTAGTGTGGGGGCATCTGGTGGTGAAGATATGCACTGCAATCAACAGGACAAAGGTCAGATATTATTAGTTCTTAAATATTACACAGAACTCAGAAGATTTGAACCTAAATATCTGCAGATATTAATGTTAATACTAAATTTTATTTACTGAGACTCTTTTGTTAACATCCTTTTTAAAATAAAGTAGCATCTTGTTAAGAAAGGTTGGCTTGTGGGACAAAGATTCTAACAAGGACTGTGTGAACTGTTAGCATGTAGAGTGTGTGTTAGCTGTGACTCTCAGCTACTAATACAACAAGTTTTAGCTTAATATCTAATAATAATAATAATAATAATAATAACAATAATAATAATACAACCCAGTAATATCTTGTTTTGTGTTTAGTACAGAAAATGTCACATGAATCAGTAACAGAAAGTCTGAAAGTAGATCTTCAACTGGTTACCTTTTGCCATTATTTTGTCATTTTTACAAATAATACGCTAAGATTTGTTGTTGAAGTAGATGAGAGTTATGCCCAAATCTAAAAGACTGAAAAGTATTTTCTTTGCTGAATTAATTTGCTGAATTAATTTGATGTTGAACCAGTCAACTTGCTCTCCCGCCTCTTATTTACATGCTTTTCTTCACCCCATGACAAAGAACCACTACAGGGAGGGGGACTTGAATAACACAACAACATAGCATCGAAATGCTGCACTTATAAGTGAGCCATGTCCTCTGAATGAACAGCATTGATGAGCTGCCGGGCTGAAAGACACGCAGGAGAAGAGGGACAAGCAGTGCGCTGMACGGGGTGGGCAGGAAGATCAAGCAGGCCAGATGTATAGACAGAGAGGGATTCAGACAGACAGGCAGCCAGACAGAAACAGACAGGTTGTCTGCACCCGCCCTCTCCTCGGCAGTAATGCCCCCCACCCACCACCACCACTCCCCTCCTCCCCTTGGAGTTGTGGAACACATGTGGAGAATCCTGGCATGATGCAACCTTCTAAAAGCAGGAGTATTAGTGGGGTAGGTCTTTGGCCGTGGGGCCAATTATGATGAGGAATAAATACAGTTCTCATGCTTAGGATTGACACAGTGTGAGGTTATAACTATGCCCGGCATGAAGTCACCGAGGGCCTGAAGGATGATCCGCAGATGGAGCTCAGCTCATACCCAGCTGACAAACATGAGTTCAAAGAAASAAGAGCACAAAGGGAATATCCAGATTTGAGTTTGGGGTGATCAAACAGTCCTGGAACTGGAACCAAATACAAAAGGACATGTGTGGAAAAACTAAAATCAATCGCGGGGTTTAAAAAATACCCGCTCAGAGTCACCTTCCAAGTTTCTGCTCCTGCTGTTCTTGTTACTGCCCTTAGAAAGTGACAAGAGGGGCTCAGAGACGGGKGGAGAATGAGAGCTGGAAGTGTTAACTGCTTATAAAAACAGGCCCGTGTTCTAAAAGCTGAGCAGTGAATCAGGCAGAAGCACACCGTTAGTATTATGGGAGAAACCTGATGCTGCTATTGCAAAGCTGCAGCTGCTGTCCCACTGCTTGACCCYGCTGCAGTAAAACATCCTGACAAACAGCTCTTAATGGTTCTTTATGTGTATGAGCACTTGGTACGGAGTGAGGAAAACCAAAGGTTTTTTTATCGCTGATTCAGCGTTTACATGGCTGTTTTCCTGTTTTGTTTTGTTGTTGTTTTTCATTACATTTTCTTTTTTATTATTTTACAGTCTAGCTATTTCTGTATACCTTTGTTCATAAATCAAAACAATCTGTTTTGCCCTCTGTCTGGACTTGACCTCAAACTAAGTTAACTTATCAGTCTGATCAAAATTAAACTGAGAAKATATCTACAACAGATGACATTAATAGTTCATAATCTTTCCAAATCCCCTWTAATTTTAAACAATCTGAACTGTTGCTTTAAACAATACTTTGTCACGTGTCAGCCTTGGCCAATGGGCCAAATCTGGCCCTCGTTAACATTTTATCCGGCCCCATAAGTAATACTTTAAATAGTTTCTCTTTTGTTGCTGTATTTAGTGCATTCTTCTCATGACAGCTGGCCAGCTTTCAAGCCAAGARAATTCTTTTTGAATTTTTCAGTAATCTTTGATTTTGGCGTGGAAAGAGCCGCAGAGAGAACTTTAAGAAACTTTTTTCTGTCTTCTCTTCTCATTTTAAAGTCAAATAACTGGATTCTTAGTGAAGGTTTTCTTTTTTATTTTGTGATAAAGTTATCTAAGAAATATAGTTGTTGAGAGAGGAAGCAATGAATTCTAATGAAAAAGTCTTTCGAGGTTATGTATGTTCTAAATGCTACATAAAACATAACTTGAATGTACCAAATTTACTTACAGTATCTTGGTGTCACAGTTACCAGCAAGTTTAAAAATGTATTTAAAGTATACTTCATACACTTAAAATTGTGCTTTCTTACAACTTAAAGACAACTAAAGTATATTTAGTATTAAATTTTAGTTGTTCCAAAATAGCACTCTTAAAGTATACTGATGATTCTCTAAAATGAGTGTTGTGTACATCTGTGACTTTCTGAAAGAATTGTAGATGCTGTAGCATTTGCACTTTGATGCAACTGGCATCCATTTTCCTTTTTTGAAACATGGTGTGAAACCCCCCCCCCCCCCCACCTGGTGTCTACCCACTCAGCAAGAACTCCTAGGTCTCCCTTTATGTAAAAGTGTTGTGTTTCATAGCTTTCATCACATTGTAGCTACTGAGAACTGCTGAGACATTTTAAGGACTGCAGAAATCTGCTGAGAACTACTGAGCTGTTGAGAACTGCAGAATAAACTTGTTTTTTACTGTCCAAAATGTTTTTT